AAAAAATAGAGGAATTTTTGATAGGTGAAAGGTGAAAATGATCGTTAAATTCTTAGACGTCAAAAATGGTAAATAACGGCCTGAGTTATGAGTGCAGGTGTTATTATTTTATAAACAGTCCTCGAACAGAGTCGACAAAGAGGTATCAGATGGACACCTCGAATCGGACCTTTCCCGCGACCCGAAAAAGTTTCGTCTTGCACCTGGAGACAAAGGAGAAACCAATCGGGAAGCGAGAAAAGGGACGAGGGACCAATCCGAAAGGCGAACAGTGGGGGAAAAACTATAAAAATCGGAACTTCAAGGTCGAAGAAGAGTCTCCTCCGGATTAACCCTACAGTGGTGATTAAATTTGTGCTGTGCATCCGCCGATCACCGAGGACGCCGCAACGAACTTCTACTTCGTCCGGATATCCTTCTGGTCCGCCCGAACTGCAACCGAGATCACGAACTTTCGCCGTTCCCAGGAGATTTTGGAATTATCCTATATCGATGTAAGCATGAATTCGAACAAATAAACGGGTTTTATCTTGTAAAACACCTGTGCATCATTTGCCTCCTTCGCCACCGTCCACATACGCGGTTTCCCTTAGGCTCATTCTGACGTGAGATAGACTGTTTCCCCCTCAACGTCGGCAAACCTTACATATGTGAACATTTCTACGTAATTCAAAGGTAATCTATATATATATAAATGAATGTATGTGTATGTGTGTCTGTGTGTGTCTGTCTGTCCTTCATGCATTACCACACCGTTTATCCGATTGCCATGAAACTTTGGGAAGTTGTTTAATATACTCCGGTGAAGGTTTGTGGCATAGTACGATTGCCATGAAGCTTTGAAAAGTTTTTTAATTTTTTAATACACTCCCGCGAAGTACATTTATCCTACGATAGATGGCGCGCGTTTACACGAGCATTCGCGCACAGTGTGTTCGATCGATTTCAAATTGTGAAGACCATTTCCCCCCTTCAAAAAATATCTCTATATATGCATTTGTGAACTGTTATTTACGATATTTGTAATAATTTTTGTTTAATCACTTTATTTCAACTTTTTTTTGCTAATTATGTATTCGCTCGAACTTTGTTAAAACCTTAACTGTATCCCGAACAACAACCGAAGTTGTAGGAGGAAATTCGCCTATTTTACCGATCTAGGAATCCCCCTTTTCCAAATTTTAATATCGACTCAAAATAATTTAAAAAGACAAATTACAATAAAACGGTTTATTATCCAACTATCAGAAATTTCACAACATGCCAAGGAAGAGAGGAAGGAGCAATTAAATAATTAAAATTATAAAGGATTTAAAAATATATATAAAAATGGGGAATATCGCACTTCTGACAATCGCAGCGAGTGTGTGGGCTAAATTTGGAGAATCCGTGCTTCTCGCATGGACAACTGTACGTGGCCAGCTCATGCGTCGGAAAACTTCTGATTTATTCGTGTACGCACCAGACGGAAAAACAAAAAATATCGTGTATCCACAAGCACTCCAATAAATAAATAGAATTTAAACGACGAATATTTTGAAATATTTCCCAATTAAAATGAATAATTATAATAATAATAATAAGTTTCAACAAAAATGATAAAATGTAAATTGAATTTTGTCATAACGAGTTTGCTTGAATTTCGTTTCTTCTGAGATCGCAGCAATGCGCGATGGATAAGTTAATTTTTATTATATACCTTACACAGCATTATTAATATGATTTTGGAGGTGTAATTTCCGAAATCATATTAACCTTAAAATTACTTTAAAAAATGAAAAATAATTATATCATTTGATTTCAAGATATTTTTGTATACCTTAAAAATAATTAATTCTATTCCGGGATTTTCCGGGATCCCGGGAAACAGTTCACTTTTATCTCGGAATCCCGGGACAAGGAAAAAGACAAAGAAATGAGAAACCTAGAATTTACCCACTTGTTCAATGTTTATCATATATGCATTAATTCCTGTACATAATACCTTTAAATAGTTATTGTTCAATTAATTTTGTTAAAGCATGTGTTTAATTTCGTGGTAAGTTGTATTTTTATACCTGTTGTGTGCCTTATTCCTTCAACACAATACAATAATTCTTTTTCGTTTTTAAATTTAGGACGCCGATATGGCCTTCGTTGGTTTATTCCTGAACCCTACCCGTTTTGCAGCAGTGGAATTTACTTCTCCAATAGTGTTTCAGCCCGTTTTGTTTGCTGTCAAAGCTCCAGAAAAAATTCCAAATTGGATTTCCATAATAAAACCTTTCGGTTTGAAAGTAGGTATTTAACATTCACATGGGGTTGACAACACACCCAGAGTGCTATTATCAGATACTTACTGCTCTGGAAAGTCAAAATGTAAAAAGAATCGAAAAATTCGAGAAATTTTTTGGAGTTTCTCTGATACGATATTTCAGGCGTGTCTTTTAAGTCTTTCCAAGACACGCCATAGTCCATAAGTCCGCAGGAGTGTCTTCAAAATGGCGTCCAAGGACGCCATTTTGAAGACACTCCTGTGGACTTATGGACTATATGGACTTGGCCAAACCCACGATGGGCTGATAAAGGCCTTTTTACTGAATAAAAAATCGTACAAAAATTTTTCGAAAATTGTAGTTTTAAAAGTTGGCAACCATTCCTTTAAAAATAAATATATATATCGATTTATTTTGACGTAACTATTCTCTTTGTAGATGTGGATCGCGATTCTCTCAACGGTATTATTATTTGGATTAGTATTGCATAAAGTGGTCGAACGTGATTTCATGACTGACGAAGTGGGAATATTCTGGCCACGAAGCCGTGTGTTCTGGAATTTATTTTGCACGTTCGTTTACCAAGGTATACCGTTTTTTGCTTTCAATAACAAAAATAAATATTAATAGTTGATATTTATACTTAGGAATTAACCTGGATAACGTGAAAAGATTCAAATCCAGATTGCTCGTGTCAATATGGTGCCTATCAGTTGTAGTGTTGATAAGTAGTTATAGTAGAACTTTAATGTCTTTCATGTCATATCCTATATCCGAGTCTGTTCCAAAAACTTTTGACGAACTAGCCATTGCTGTCGAAAATAGTGAATATTCTTGTGGTATTAATGAAAAATCAGCAATATGGAGTTACCTTATGGTAAGAACAGAATAACCATATTTGAAGTTTTTGTATTTACAGCAATCTGTACCTGTAAATAGTAAACTATTAGTTCTAAAATTAGTATACGAACTATGTAAAAAAATGCATAAGCAAATTTTGCAACAAAAATTTAGTTCAAAAACTTTTGCTAGGGTATGCTTTATAGGGTTCTACAGGAGACAGAATAGCAATAACTCAACAAACACTAGTTATTCGTTCAGCAAGAAACATGCCTTCTGCATAGTATGCTTTATGTTGTAATGAATGTTGCTCAGGGTGTGCCTTAACGTATAAAATGTCGTTTGCAATGCTGTAAATGTCATTGTTTTCAGCGACTTCAATCGTAATATCTAAAATAACATTAAGATGTAAGTTATCATTGGCGTTTGTTGTTTACCGTGTTTCCAGCCGTATATTTTTCTGTACAGTGCTTGGAAAATTTTCAACTTCATATTTTTTTGGAATCACTTTTTTCATTCGTTGCATAGTCTTAATTTCTATATTAGGGGATTCTGTTATTGATTACCGCTACGGAGTACATTGAATAGAAAAACTTGAATTATGGACACGTAGTATAACAAGTTTTGCTGCAGTATTTGTAATATATATAATTATTTTGTTTCCTGCATATTACTTGAAGAGTTCCAACAAGAAAAGAAATAAAATTTTCAAAGATCACATTTTACGTAACAACCATTTCTTGTCTTTATCGATTGCAAGCGAAAAAGTTAAGAAAGAACGTTTTGCTCTAATAACGAATGTATATCGAACAAATAAACTGATACAGAAAGATCCACACGCATATATAATTTCTGAAGATGTTTTCATCACATATGTTCAGTCTTATGCTGTAAGAAAGGGATTTCCCTTTAAGAAAGAATTAAGTAAGATGTAAGACAACTTTTTGTTTACCTGTATGACGTTTTTTATTGCAAAATAATTAAAAATATATTTCTTTTATAGTGTAACACGTTTATTTGAAGCTGGAATTATGGAGAAAAAAGATTATTCAGAAACATCAAAGTTACTGAAGTTTTCAGATTTCCAAGTATTACAATTGGCCGACATCATTAGTCCAATGATATTGCTTTCCATTGGATTTGTTTTAGCTTTATTGTTCTTATTTGTAGAAATATTCTGTAAAAGAATTATCGAAAATTAGCACGTGCAAAAACAATGAATATTTATTCAATATGCCTTACAGAACAATTAATACTAATTATTCGTATTTCCGTCGGATGAATAAATTATTTTTTTCACAAATTAAAGACAAAGTCGCTCTAAAATTATTTTTTTTAGACGATTACCATTTTTACAGTGTTCTAGAACAAATAATAGACAGCTGGACCTTCCTTTTTAGGCTACACAACTGCCTACATTTAAAAAAGTTCCTTAAAAACACAAAAAACCAATTTATTCATCTGACGGAAATACAAATATATCGTTAATATTCGTCACCAGAGGGATATCTTGGCGTAATCTACATTTGTCAGCGCTAATCCACAGTAGATAAAAGGAGCCAGAAACCCACGTAGATAAGGATGAACTAACAAGACGTCGCAAGATTTACTATTCCAATTTTAAAGAAGAATTTTTAATCTTTATTGGTTTTTTTGTGTTTTTAAGGAACTTTTTTAAATGTAGGCAGTTGTGTAGCCTAAAAAGGAAGGTCCAGCTGTCTATTATTTGTTCTAGAACACTGTAAAAATGGTAATCGTCTAAAAAAAATAATTTTAGAGCGACTTTGTCTTTAATTTGTGAAAAAAATACTAATTATTCATAAAATCACCAATTTTATTCACACTAGGATATTCAATTCTGGTGTTCTCTCTTTTTCAATATGGCGGAAATAATTAGTACAGTAGAGCGTCGATTTTCCGAAAGTCAATCATCCGAAAGCTTTCCAGTCCCAAATCTAAATCTTCGCCAATGCTGTGGCGCTGCAATCTTTGGCTATGTCTTGGGCTACTCAAATATTTTACGTTTTTGATACTAAATTAACTTCTGAAGTATAATTTTTTATTGTTTTTATATTTTTCAATATATTTATTTTGTTCGTACGAAATAAAATAGTAATTTTTAACGATACAATAGTCTTCGTTAGGCTTAACATCGACGAAAATTCAACGCGAAGCGACACGTAACAAGGGAAAATTTAAACATTGGATACGTTAAACTATTTTTTCGTACATAAATCGGTTATCCGAAATATCGGTTATACAAACAACCCCAGTCCCCAATTGATTCGGAAAATCGACGCTCTACTGTATTATAATTTACACTTTCTTTGTATCAAACTTTCATTAAAACAGTTGTATATTGTAACTGCAAATAAACATTTTTGCAAATATATTAGTTATCAATACTATTGTAATAAATTCTTTATAAAGCATTCTATAAATTACATTCCATTTATTAATTTTAATCATAAGCTTTAAATTTCATGGCTTTATTTGTGTCGTTTGTGTGTGAGTATAACACAATTTTGTTCATCCTCTTTGAAGCTGAATAACGTCAATGTTTTTTGGGGCAAATTTCTGAAATTTTGCAGGGAAGTTTAAATGTGAGGGTTGTTGATGCTGTTAAATATTTGAAGTTAAAGGTCGACGGGATGGAGAGATAAAGTAGGTGATGTGTCACGTTATGAGTAGGGCCAGGCTTATTTAGGATTTTATTCGCAATTAGCATTTATAAGTTTTAAACTTATTCCTGCCATCAAAATTGAGTTTTACCATTTTATAATAATTAGAAATATAAAAAGAGTTTAATACAGAATACCATAACAGATGGCGCCACGCACGCAGTTTTAAATGATACCAGGAAAGTTAAGCAACTTGTCTTGTGAGTCTTTAATGTAGTACTATGACTTTCCTGGTTATTTTTTCTAAAATTCATTTGTTTCATTGGTACAAATAAAGCAGAGTAATTTGTACAAATAAGAAAAAACTAATTTTTGAGACAATTTCGTACTTGTTCGCCTGACTGTTACTGTCTGTCTCTCCTTAATCATGAGAAAGGAATAGACAGATGAATGACGATCTAGTGATGAAAAGCGAGGGAGCAGGAGGCCTATATTAACTAGAAACAAATGTATGATTTAAAGCGGAAATAACGAATAAATACGAAATAAAACATTGAATAAAACACGAATAAATACATTGTAAATAAAACAAATAATTATAATGGTTTACAATGCACACGAAATGAAAATACCAGCGATATCTCCAAAAACATGGCCGTAGATTTTACAGGTACAAAGAAAACTGCAGTAAATCTCGAGTGGATCAATCGTTTTCAAATTATTATCGTTTTATTTCAAATACACACGAAACACATTAAGTATGAAACCTTCACTAAAGACGCCGTTTTATATTCTTAATTATTTGGCTATAAAAAGTGGTGATAAGAGGGATGTCAGGTAATCGTTTTTACATCAAAAACCGCAATAGTGGTGTTGAAAATGTTCATAAGATACAGACTTGGTATCGGTATTATATTATATACACTTTATAGCAACAGTGAAAAGATTTGTGATGCGTAATTAACGCACCACCGAGTGTTACATTGGCTTATCTCATCAAACAAACGCACGAAAAATAAAATTCCGTGTTGTTACGTAAAGAAAAATATCAATTTCGTCAAAAAATAATGAATTCTAAAATTACAGTGAAATGAGTTGTAAAGTTTGGTTTTGTTCAATTGATTTCTACTTTGTCAGTTAATTAAACATCGATTTGATGCAAGATGAAAACGGTTTTAAATTCCACATCGATTTTACTAAAATTACTTATTCTCGTGACGTTACACATAATAGCTTTGCCCTCGTTTATATTTATCTGCTGCAGATTCTAGTCTAACGTTCCTTAGACTGTATAAGTGGGTTCTTTCCCAGATAATGAAAATATATTTTACAACTGTCTTGAATTTTATAATTGTAACAATGTCTTCGGTGTGTGCTGAAGAACACGGTGAGATACTTTATTTTTATATCTGTTACTTTAAACGTTTAATTACTTCTAGATATTAGTGAACTTAAAAAATATGTTCGTACTGAGTGATCTTAACTAAAAGTATCCCTATTCAATGCTGTCTTTAGAGATATTTACTAGTTCAAACAAATTTAAATTTTGCATGCTGATATTTCGTGACATGTGAAAGATAACTCTCTGAATAAATTAGTACGAAATCTCACTGTTCTAGTAGTTTTAGCGCTGCAATCGATAAGAGTATGTATTAGTTTCAATGTTTGCTGCAAAATAAATTTATTTGTTCAAAAAAACATGTGTATATCGTGGAGTACTTTTGCAAAAATATGTAAAATTTTTACTTTTATGAATGCAAAGATAAAGAAAGGCAATTTCAAAATTTAGCATAAAGTACAAAAAATCGCTGACTGTAATAGATAAAACCAGTTTTATTGATTTATTTAGCTATTGAATACGTTCAAAAAGTCATGGTGTTGGTACAACCAGAAATGCTATTAGGAATTTATTTACTGTTATTCATGCATTTAGTCTCTTTTCCTCATAAAATATAATCGTTTCACACTAGTATTAGTGAATACAACAAACATTATGACAATATTATCAATTAACAGGGCGCATGACGACACACAAAGATATTGGCGAAAGGTGTCTCCACAAAATTTGTAAAGAGAGCACTCGCAATTTAAATCTTTTACTTAAGTTTGAAATATTTAGATATTTCCGAGTGAATTTACACGCTCCATTTTGAATAAATTACTTATTTTACCGTAAACATCGCATTGCCACCAATGCAACTAACTGATTGCAGCATGCAACCAAAAGCCTGTATACAGTAAACAGCTTGTGTAATAAAGAAATGGATTCTTCGTACTAATGTATAGATTACAGTAGAGCGCCGATTTTCCGAATCAATTGGAACTGGGGTTGTCTGGATAACTGATATTTCGGATAACTGATTTACGTACGAAAAAATAGTTTAACGTATCCGATGTCGAAATTTTTCTCCGTTGTGTGTCGCTTCGCGTTGAATTTTCGTCGATGCTAAGCCTAACAAAGACTACTGTATCGTTGAAAATTATTTTTATTATTTTGTACAAACAAAATAAATATATTGAAAAAAATAAAAACAATAAAAAATTATACTTCAGATGTTAATTTAGCATCAAAAACGTAAAATATTTGAGTAGCCCAAGACATAGCCAAAGATTAAAGCGCCACAGCACTGGCGAAAATTTAAATTTGCTGACTGAAATTCTTTCGGATGATTGACGTTTCGGATGATTGACTTTCGAAAAATCGACGCTCTACTGTATTTATTTTTTAAGTATTCAATGTATATATTCTTTCTATCATATTTTTCTCTATAAGACATTCTTTACAAAAATTCTTAATTTTCATAAAATTCCTAATAGGAGCAAAGAATAATTCGTATGAATGAAAAATTGTTGGTGTTCAGGTAAGACGAGTTTTTTCTAATAATTGATTTTACTGTTTTTACGACGTTGTTTACACATTGCAGAAACCGATTTTTATGAGAGTGGACAAAACGGAAACAAAAATCACAGATGGATTTTACTTACACGTGTTTAAAGCCGTTTAGCAGAAATTAAAATTTAGGTAAATAATATAACTACATTTACGAAATATTAATTAAATGAATAAACATAGAATAAATTTAATTAATTTCATTTACGTAGTTATTCTCTTGTGAAACCAATACCTAAAGTATTTGGATATCAGACTGAAAACGGCTCGTGGAGTGGATTAATTGGAAAACTGGTAAATAAGGAAAACAAATTGAAATTATAGACACGTTTCAAATGAATATTAACTCGACTTCTTACCTCTCTTATATACAATCGCTTGTTTATCGGCCGACCCGTCGAATCTAACCTCGGGGGATTTATCCGGTGACAGTCGGGACACAATAGTGTGTGTGTGTCTCTTGAACTCCGAACGTTTCAAATGAATATTAACTCGACTTCTTATTTCTCTTATAAACAATCGCTTGTTTATCGGCCGATCCGTCAGATCTAACATCGAATATTTATCCGGTGACAGTCGGGACACAAGAGTGTGTGTGTGTCTCTTAAACTCCGAACGTTTCAAATGAATATCAACTCGACTTCTCACCTCTTTTATATACAATCGCTTGTTTATCGGCCGACCCGTCGAATCTAACATCGTGGATTTATCCGGTGACAGTCGGGACACAAGGGTGTGTGTGTGTCTCTTAAACTCCGAACGTTTCAAATGAATATTAACTCGACTTCTCACCTCTCTTATATACAATCGCTTTCTTACGACTTATCGGCTTCGTTGTCAGGGATGGCTTTGGCAAATGAGTGGGAAGGGTAGTGAGATCGTGAAAAGGTGTCCAAATACTAGACAAGTAAAACAATACTAACACATGTAATAAACAAATAAAAGATTATATATACAAAAGGTAATAAACAAAAAAAACACGTGTAAATAAAAAAAAAATTTATTTTATATCCATGTCTTAACCTAAAGATCAAGAAAGTGATTTCTCTAAGAGGAACGTATTGGAGAGAGAGAGACAAATTCAAGCAAAAGTTTACCTCGGCGGATGCGATCTCTTCGTTTACGGCGTTAATACATCATACTGAAATCGGCGGTTTTTAATCGAAGTTCCTTTGAATAGCAAAATGGAACGATAAACAGTTTGGCGGTATTGAACTGATATCTCTTGACGTCCGTTCGGCTATGTCCGTAGAGAGTGTCCGCTCCGTCGCTTTTCGACTGTAGAAAGACTGTAGTGACTTCCCTAGAAAAGTTATTCGGCGGTGTGCTTTCGGCTAACCGCCCGGAGGAACAAATTCGACCCCTTTTTATACCTAAGGGGGATTCATTGGAAAGAGAATTCGATGTAATCGCCAGCTTGACATGCGTACATCTGTGTTTACATTTCGTCACTTTTTTTTCTTCCAATCGTTGACATCTGTTTATCGTAAAAGTGTCAGACTCCGTAATGTATTGACTTACAGTGACTGATGGCCTAGTACGTCTCAGCGTCTTAGAAAAATTTATTGCCTTTTAGGTCATACAAATACGTGAGTCGTTCGCAGCCCAGCACACGTATTTGTAAAATTTAAGTTACTCGTACAACATGAAATTTATATAAAACGAAATTATTAACAATGTTATAAGATTCTACTGTATTATATTTTTTTATAAACTAGAAACTTACCTTAACAGAAATATGTCGGGTATATCAATATTATTAACGAATATTGAATAGCGATTTATTTAACTTAAAGAATATTAACCATTTATAAACGGTAAAGTACAATTACACTAGAGAACACACTCACCTGAATAACGTATGTTAATGGTAGCAGAATAAAAAAATCTCTTATTGTATTCTATTGCCAGCTCACATACAAATATCCGTCTTATAATTAATCTACAATCTATTTATACGAGCAAACCAAAACCAAAACCAAAACCAAAATTGAAATCATAACCTTCAGATAAAAAAAGTACCAATATTGATAATTTTAGTAACGCCTTATGTTTTCATATTTTATTATTATTTTTTAAATATTTAATTACAGTTGACCCTCCTATAACATGCGTTACTATAACGGATATTTCTATAACGTAGCGAAAAATTGCAGCAACATTCGTTTAAAAAAGCTCCTAAAACGTCGTCGCCGACTCGTTTCGCGACATAATTGATAGAATTTGGACCAATAGTAAATGAGCAGCCGAACTACTTTCCTCCGCCCTGCCCCACGCTACGGAGCAACTAAATTGAGTTTGCTATCGTCTGTACAGTATTATATATAAATTATACATAAATTAGGTACTGTACATATAATGATGTCTTTACTTAATTTATTGTAACTTTATTATTATTTTATATATGCTCTCTGCCGCCTGGCGTCACGCTACTGATATTTTAGGCTAGTAAGTTGAGTTTATTATCGTCTGTACAGTATGTAAATTAGGTATTGTAAGTTTAATACAGCACTAATTTTATACATTTTATGTGAAAAAACATTTCTTATTTATCGGCCATAAAAATTATTTATAATAATGATGTTTACAAAAGTCAAGTTAAGGAAAGACAGATGCACAGACACCTCGACAGACAAAGTATATTTGAAGTTTACAAGTTTACAATTTTTCAAAATTGTAGTCCAATAATTTTTTGTTCGAGTATTTTTTATAAAATATTATTTTTCAGCACTAGTCGAATATTCGATTCTGGAATCATCGAAAAAATCGATAATGCTGAACATTCTAGAACAAACACCGATTCAGAATTTTGCAAATTATCTATCAAAGATATTATCAGTCCTTCTTTGATACTTATATTTGGCTATTTTCTGTCTATTCTCTGCTTAATTGTGGAGAGAATATATGTAAAATTATGCTGAATTTTAAGGATTTTGCCAAATTGAATATTTACAGTATATCTTGTAATAGCGATAAAGTGCCTCACGTTTCGTTTTCGCAATAGTACACACGAAATCATAGAAAAAACAATAATTAGATTTCAGCTAATATATGCTGTATTGTTGATAAGCCAAGTTAGTTTAAAAATTAATGATACAAATTTTGCAAAAATTTCATCGTAATTAAAAAACGTTTAAACAATTTTCAAAATGTACTTTATGTAAATTTCTGAATCATTTTCGTGATATAATTTTTAGTGGTTAAGTAACACGTTCTGCATTTTCTGTGGAAGAAGACGAAGATAACTATAAAGTGTTACAGGAAGATCATTGAAAGAAGGTGAACAGCGTAGAAGTAAGACTCACCGATTAAACCGATCGGAACTTCAGGTGCAAATCAGAAGCTTCGTTATTTTAATTTAAAACTTTTCCCTGAAAAGAGTTAGATAAATGACCAGCACGATTCTATTGCTAACAAGTATTGTATGCTGTATTAGGACAAGCCACTACTAGTTTGAAATGAAAAGCATTATTTTATTTTAAATTAAACAAATTAATACTATAGTTAAAAACTGCAGCTTGGAATTGTGACAATGTCACAATAAATAATTGCCTGTTATTCATATACTAACTTTTTCTTCACCATATACGAATTGGAGTATTATAGAGTAATTGACAAATTATGAATAATAGACATTACAATATACTAAATATTACTTTTTGTTGAATACTTTTCAAATGAATTCTTAATAAGTAAAATTATAATTTAATGTTGCATTATTTTGTAGTTTCCTAACGTTAAACTTAATAAAATGAATGTTACACGAAACTGACAATTTTTTTGGAGGAGTATAATATTTCAGTTTTCAAGGTTTTTTTTAATGTTATCGAACAGCTAAGTACACTGAAAAATTCGACACTTATATTGTGGTTTCTGGTTTATTGCTTCCTTTGCACCCGGTATGGAATGGGCCTGAGAAAAGTTGTACCGAATACATTATTTTATAGTTTAATTGTTTTGAATTTCGATTTTTACTACACAGAATATTAAAAACATATGATTACATTATTATATTTTTACACATAGTATGTTTAATGATTAGTAATCCAAAAGCAAATAAACATATTTATTCCTCAACTGAAAAGTGCAAAGTTTCAACGTTACTATTTTCATTATTTAGTGTGTCTATTTGTTTCGTGTAAATAAACATAATTGGAATCACGATTGAAATTATATAATATACAAATAATGTATTAAGGAAAACATGTCATAAGTGCTGTTTGTCTTCACAATTCAATTGTGAAAATATTTTCCATTTTATGTTTTATATAATCTTAGAATTAGAAATACTTCTTAATATATATTTTATTATGCAACTCTATTAAATACTTCATATTTGTTTAAGAAACATGTTTTGTTTTGAAAACAGTCGACTAAAACAGTAGCGTTCTTAGTCGATTGAAAAATCTAGAACTTCAAAACAATCAAAATACAAACTATAAATTTACTACATTTATAAAAAATTTACGTTAATACTTTGAACAATAAGTCTCATAGGCCTAACATTATAATTTTAGTTAATTCCTTATGGTAATTAGTAAATAAATTAAAATTTCTGTTTATACAAGTCTACATAGTTATTCTTTAATTGAAAATTTGATTACCACCTAAAGGCAATAGTCAGATCAATTAATAAGAGAGAAAAGGAAAACCTAAACCAATTAAAGGAAAAAACTACAAATGAAAAAGTTTATAAAACCCAATGTTGAAGGATTCAGTGTTTGTCATCATCATCGTGATTGTCAACTTATACGTCTTTGTCTAAATCTGTCATCCTCGTCTTTCTAAATACATTCATCTTTTTGAAACGTACCTGCAACAGATGCTGCTACCTTAGGGCTGTCCTGTGAACAGGCAATGCTGATCTAACTCGACCATAAATAAAAAAGTCTTTGTCTTTATCCCGAAAAACTTATTTTTATATGTAGGCGCAACGTTTTTTGCAATAAACGGTTTTGTAAAGGCGCTTGTGTTTTCTGTCTTCTATGCCATCTTTCACATACGCGAATGCTTCTAGGTTGTTTTCTCAATAGATTAACGATCTCTTGAAAGTCGTAAATCCACAAAATTCAAAAATTTTCGACAAAATTTATCGACGTAATATAGCCTCAAAGAGAATGAAGAGACCCTACACAGAAAAAACCCACATTTTTTTCATTTTTCAACACTACAAAGTTTAAAACTGTAAAATCTCGTACAGAGTCATGTTTTGAAATCGATCGCTATACACTTTTTAACTTTAATATTCGAAAAAGTAAAAAGCACTGTATAATTTTTTATATTTTCTAATTATAACTATAGTGGCAAAACTTTAAAAATAAACAGAAATTTTACTTAAACAACTAACTTAACTAACGTTATTAGTTCATGCATGTTCATATGCTTTAAAATCAGTCAATTAATAGGTTTGTACAATAATGAAAAAGTATTGTTCGAATATTTATTTTAAAAAGTAGAAAACCAAGTGATTTATGTTGAAAAAACCTTGAATATAATTGAAAAAACAAATGCAAATTTTCATATAAGTGTAAGTAATAAAGGATATGTACATGTACAAAAAGTTTTACATATAGTTGTGTACAAAAAGCATTTCTCACACATGGGAAAAGATGAAAAACCAACAGAGAAATAACAAGGACAAATTGATATCTTATGGCCACGGTTGCAAAACTATCATGCTGTAGCTGGTCAAATAAGAAAAAGTAACCCTGTTATGTACAATTATATTAAATAAATGATAAATACAACTCGAAAAACATTGATAGAAGACTTTTAAAGTTTGATGCACGAGATAAGAGGCGAATTTTGAAAGTTGCAACCAACAGTGTGACATCAGCATCAAATGTTGTAAATCAGATATAGTAAGAGTTCATACCCATACTGTTTAATAAGTGATAAAATCACCAGGAAGACTTAAATGAAAGTAATTGAAAATAAAACCTCTAAACATAAAGAATATAACACTGCAAGATTGACCAATGCATGAAATCACGTTTTAGGATACAGAATGCATTTTTTAAGCATATAAACATTACTAAACCAATAATTTTAATTAAGAAATGCTTACTCTAAATAATATATATATTATTACTAGCTTATCCGTCGCGCATTGCTGCGATCTCAGAAGAAACGAAATTCAAGCAAACTCGTTATGATAAAATTAAATTTACATTTTATCATTTTTATTGAAACTTATTATTATTATTCGTTTTCATCGGTAAAATATTTCAAAGTGTTGTTTCAATTCTATTTATTTATTGGAGTGCTTGTGGATACACGATATTTTTTGTTTTTCTGTCTGGTGCGTACACGAATAAATCAAAAGGTTTTCCGACGCAAGCCGGCCACATACAGTTGTCCACGCGAAAAGCACGGATTCTCCAAATTTAGCCCACACACTCGCAGCGATTGTCAGAAGTGCGATATTCCCCATTTATATATATATTTTTTAATCCTTTATAATTTTAATTATTTAATTGCTCCTTCCTCTCTTCCTTGGCATGTTGTGAAATTTCTGATAGTTGGATAATAAACCGTTTTATTGTAATTTGTCTTTTTAAATTATTTTGAGTCGATATTAAAATTTGAAAAAGGGGGATACCTAGATCGGTAAAATACGCGAATTTCTTCCTACAACTTCGGTTGTTGTTCGGGGTACAGTTAAGGTTTTAACGAAGTTCGAGCGAATACATAATTAGCAAAAAAAAGTTGAAATAAAGTGATTAAACAAAAATTATTACAAATATCGTAAATAACAGTTCACAAATGCATATATAGAGATATTTTTTGGAGGGGGGAAATGGTCTTCACAATTTGAAATCGATCGAACACACTGTGCGCGAATGCTCATGTAAACGCGTGCCATCTATCGTAGGATAAATGTACTTTGCGGGAGTGTATTAAAAAATTAAAAAACTTTCCAAAGCTTCATGGCAATCGTACTATGCCACAAACCTTCGTTGGAGTATATTAAACAACTTCCCAAAGTTTCACGGCAATCGGATAAACGGTGTGGTAATGCATGAAGGACACACAGACACACATACATTCATTTTTATATATATAGATTATTATTTAATATTCTAAATAATTTTTCAGGTTTTCTGATAACACTCTTCATTGCTGTAATTTTTTTAAAAAGTATTTTTTTAATATTAAATTATTGTTAAATAACCTAAGTATAGACAACACTACACATTGAACACGCTGTCAGTAAATGATTCTTTTTTTATTGCATTGTGGAGCAAAATTCGCATCGATGTTATGTACGAATTATGACATGATTTATACTCCAGCTTCTATTACGCTGACTCTGTAATAATAAATTTTAAAAATAATCTAACGCCTCAGTTATTTGTTTATAAATATTATTGATAAACGGCGCCGTCTTTCCGGTACAATACGAAATCAGATTAGTAAACGACATTAATTTATTGGACACTCCTGATTCACAATACGTTTCTGCTATACGTTTGTGAACTTGTCCTTCGGATTAGAAATCATCCAACTCACTATTAGAAAGAAAACATCATCTA